AGCAGCTTCCATCAGGTCATGTAACAATGATGTTGATTAATCACAGTTATCTGTTACCTCTAGTAAACACCAAGGAATACATTTTAATGTCCTGCATAAATCATTCGTGTCTGCTTTACGAAAGAGTGAAATTTAGTCACTTTGATTTGGGCCGTTTAGCCATTGAAGGGGTAATATTGGTACAAAGCGCAATACTGAATACACCATGGTCCAAATCGAAAGTACCATTTTTCGGATATGTACATAAAACAAAGAACAATTACCACTTTTACATTCCATGTTATGTGGTCACCACGTCAGTAATCGATTCGTGTTGTTTATAAATAGTGCATTTAACCTTAAACTGAAGGGAAGGCCAGTCAATCCTTTGTTGTCATAGTACATGTAAATGTGTACATACATGTACATGTATTTCACATTTAGTCTGTCAAACGATGAGATACATGTACAGTGTACCGTATTTACTCCACATTGTACATGACAAAATGTTACTTCAGGAAAACTTGCCATCCAATCACAATATTCTTAGTGTCTTTCGATGGTATTGACTAAATTTGAAGGAAGATTTATGTGTACATGTACATACTGTAGATGCAACACATCATTCCTTGCAGTTCTGCTCCTGCCACATCACTCCCAAATTTTGTTACTGGTGACCATACATGTACATGTAGCCTTTATTATTCATGGTGTTAGTGCTTTTCAACCTGTCCACTGACAGCACAGAAAAAAAGGCCAATGGAAGCCACCCTGTTGAGACAGCTACTGGGTACATGTACCAGGCCTTATCAAAGCGCCTGTACATGTGTTGCTTGGAACTTGCTATAAACAGCCCCTACTTTGTGGTCATAAACTTTGTTTTAATAGCCATGAGCCTACTCTCCATGATCTTTTACAGATGCATACATACATGTATGTAATACTGCCATGCTATGGAAGTGTTCATACAATGCATGTACACATGCAAACTGTGTGATCGTCAACATACGGTTTATTTTTTCTATGGTAGATTTGAATATGAAAATTTGGCAATTACTGTAACGTCCTTTTTAAGTGTAGTGTAGTCACAGATGGATGTTTCATGACAAATTGGATTTTAAGATTTTATCTTTCTTGAAAAAAATCAAACAATGTGAACATTTCTGTAACAAAATTTGTCGGCTTGGATTATGTCTTTCAATGAATAATGCTTATGCCTCATTTAGGCATCAAAATACATGTACATGTATGCGTGGAGTGATATGCCACCTGCACAGCAGCATGGTTATTTTAGCCCTGTTGTGCACCCAGCAGTTTGAGGTGCAGGTCAGTATAGTTCAGTTTAGTTTAGTTTAGTTTTATTTCCATATCCTAAATAAAATATTAACACGAATTTAATATCAAAATAATGGAAATGATATGAGGATTCCAGAGCAGATGCAAATGCTTGTACAAGATCTGGAACCCATTTATAATCATTTAAATACATGAAATGAACTATTATGTATTACTCTACAAGATCAGAAACAGAATAAGCTATCCACATTTGCATCAGTAATCCTATTTCATATTAACTAAATAAATGACTATGATAATAACTACAAGGGAGGGAGTGAACCACTCAAATAAAAAAGAATAAGAAAAAAGAGAGGCAATAGAATGACAAACAATGACGGAACATACCGGTATGAGAAAGAATATTTATGAAAAAAAGGAAGTAGCTAGAGATGATAATGATAAATTTTCAACAGTGTGTGGAATGATATGATTATACATGTACATGTAAGTTATTTGATTATCAGTATAATGTGACAACAGCAATATTTTAAGGTACGTTTTAAAAAGCTCAAGTGACCTAAAAGTAGGTATTGTTTGAGGTGGTTCTATACAAGAGGCACTTGATTTCTGACTGTGGATAAATAAAAAATATCCGTGCTTCGTGGAGGTGTAGATTTGCGGCTGACCGTGTGTTGTGAGAATGAATATTTGAGTTTTTGCCAAATAATAAGTGTATATTTACAGGAAGAGTTTTCATTTCAAATTTGTACATCAGTACAGTGTACACTAAGGTGGTATTTATAGAATTAAAGACTGACAAGGTTTTGTATAAACCAAATAACGGCGCAGAATGTTCTGTAGATTTAGCATTATTAATTTCTCTTAATGTTTTCTTTGGCATAATATACAATTTATTCATAGAGGAGGGTTAACTGTTACCCCATGCTAAGACACTATACTGAAGGTGTGGTAGGGACAAAATATTATAAATTAAAAATAAGGTATATGAAGGTAAGTCATGTTTTAGTTTTTTTAGGATGTTTTGGTTCTGAGAAAGTGACATGAGAACCTTTTGCTTTTGGCCATGTTGCTTCCAAGAAAGTTTGTCAATAGTTACACCTAAAAATTGATAGGTACATGTACATGTATGAACTTGTTCTGTTTTTGTATTATTTAAGTGAACAGTGATACTCTTAGTAACTTTACAATAAAAAACAGCATTCATTGGGTTTTGTTTAAGTTAATGGATAATTTATTACATTTAAGCCACTCAGAGAGTTTACATAGTTGCAGATTAATAGTGTCAATTGCCTTATCATGTCCTCCATTGTTTTTACTCGGAAGCTTTTTTTACAATTGTAAAGTTCATCAGTTGTTACTGGCATAAGGAACAAGGAATTAGGGAAGTCCTCACTAAGATAATCAAGTGGGTGTACATTGGATTGAAGGATCCTTTGAGGTAGTTCAGGGCCTACATTCGTGAAAAAAATTGTTAAATTGGTCAGTAATTGTTTTGGGATCTACATGTACAATGCTGGCGTTTATTTCGAACACAGTGGGAGGCTGGATGTTTATTGTGTTTTTCTTCAGAATACCATTAACAAGTTTCCAAGTATTAGTTATGTTAATTTTTTTGTTGATCATCTTGGTGTAGAAATTTTTTAGCTGTTCTGATGACGCAAGTTTGTTCATTTGTAACATACATATATTTATGCTTACTGGTATCCGTAAGATTACTGAGATGTTGTTTGTATAATGTTCATTTCCGCGTTATACATGTAGATTTGAATAGCCCCATTTCATCCATGAGTTAACATAGACATTTTTACGTTATGTTCTGTCTTATAAGGTACATGTTTGTCAAATAAATAATTAAGCATTTGTGTGAAGTATAAAATCCATCAACATTATCCGTCAACAGTACTGAGTTCCAATAAGTGTTAGTTAATTTATTTTTAAGGTTATTCATATTTGAGGGACAAATATTTCTAATTAAATAAATGTTTTTCTTTGGTTTTGATCAAAGTGGGCCCAAATGTTAAAATACATGTAGGTAGATGATCACTAAACTCAGATTATACGATTCCAGTTGAATGAGGTTCAGTGCTGTTGATGAAAATATAATCTGTTAGGGCATAGAGGAAGGACACTGAAGGAGTTTGAACTGCCCGGGCTGTAACATCTGGCCACTTACCTCTTTCTGGCATGCCTGATATGTCCATAGCGAGAGCGCAGCGAACGCTTGCTACGCACCATCTGTTTCACAACCACAAAACTCCTTTGTACCCTATAATAGCCGCAGCAATTTGTTGCTGATAATCTACATCCTTAAAACTTTGTGCACTGAGGTGTAGGAAATTGAATATTCATGCCTTTGTTGGTGCTTGGTATGGTCTCATGACAACATCAAATTTAATGCTTGAGCAATTGCTTGCATTGTGCTGTGTCCCCTAAATCTATACGTGCAGTCATTGCCCTTAATGAGCACTTTCTTTTGGAATTATTTTGGGAATAAATAGCTGGGTTGTTTACAAGATTTTTTTGTTTTGTTGAATCATTTTCATTATGGCATTTGTACAAAAGCGTATTTTAGGAGATTTCATGATCACTTGCTGTGGTGAAATAGCGCATTTTGTTACAAAAGTTTATGAACTTAGCTTTCCAGTAAAAGACAACATTTTGTTGACCAGTCTTAGCCAAATTTGTACCAAGTCTTTGAAAACTGATGTATTGGAGGGAGGAGAAAGAAATTAACAACTTTGCATGGATAATGGAACAGTGTATCAAAATTTAGAAAGTTTATTTAGGATGGCAAAAGTTGGTCTAACATCAGAGATTTTTCTCTCTGTAATTCCTGGTCACAGCAATACATGTTATCTGTATTTAACAGCAAGAAAAAACTAAAAGTATGGCTAGGATATTACTGGCCCCGCTTGTCCGGCTAAGATGCAGGCAGTAATCAGGCATTTTTAGGATGTTTTCTATTATCCATCTGACTCGGCGGCAACCACCATTGAACACTTTGTAGTGCCAAAGTTGCTACTCCTGTGTCCTTCCTCCATGGAAAGGAAGACCATATTAATTGTTATTCTGGTAGGTTTGTCAATTGTCGGCCGGAAAGCATGACTGTAATTCATTCAAGAAATCATTACTTTGAGTGCGAGTTTCATAAGTCTGTCAGTTTTCGTCAAAATCACCCAGCAAATAAGTTTTTCTCAGATGTAATTTTCCCGTCTGTGGGAAATGGATTAAGACAGATCCCATCCAAGAAAATTAATTTGAAGTCCATTTAAATCTGGATTTAATTTCACTTGTCTCACCTATTCCAATTAAACTAGCCAGCAAAAAAAAATGAAATAAGCCCTTTATTGTGTGAAACTGAAAATCATCCCTACAAGGCACCATTTGTGCATGGCAATTTGTATGTGAGAGTACAATCGCTGTTCCTTCAACTTGTTTGTGTACTCTTGACAGTCATCATTTACATTTTTATTGTAAATATTTAAGACATGTTTACAGTTACAAAATAAACTTAATAATAAATTTAATATGTAGTAGCCCACGTGAACACATTATTCATGCATATGAAAACAGTGCATGCATGGTCAGTTGGGAAGTCAGTGCTCTGCTTACGATAAAACAAATATTTTAGCTTGTTCCTGCAGATTTCCAACTGATGGGAGTTAACCCTTAATGAAATATGAAGTTGAATTGTCAATCATTTTTACCTTTCCTTATTGCAGGAGCCCAGGCTGGTGTTGTTGTGTTTTCAACTGTAGACAAAGCATCCTTTGAAGCAGTGGAAAAATGGAAGCGAAAAGTTGAAGAAGAAGTGGGGTGTATACCACTGGTGCTTGTACAAAACAAAATAGATCTAGTGGATGAAGCAGTTGTAGCTCCGTGAGTACCAATTTAGTCACTCTGTGCCACCCCTGATTTTACACTGTACACCTTGTAGGAACTTCTATTAAGTTGCTGTAGTCTCTACTGTTCAAGTCTCAAAATTAACGCTTACCCACTTCCAAGCGGTAAGTGGATTTTCCTTAGCGGTAAGTGAATTTCAACAGTGGGTAAGTTAATTTGTATAATGGGTTTTGCCCTTACCCAACGTATGTTAATAAGCACTGTATGCTCAGTGCTTATTAATATACGTTAAGTAAGGGCAAAGTCCATTTAAATTAACATCTCCCCAACGCAAAAATACATCTTGAAAATAGGTCGCGGTACCATTTGACTCCGACCAGCCAGCCGGACCCAGCAAGCTCGGTGGTCGAGTGGTTAAGACATTTGCACTACATGTACATGTAGTATGCAGGAGGTCGTGAGTTCAAGTCCCACCCGAGTAAGCTTGTGAGGTTTTTTGCAAGCTCTCCGACAAGCACTGAGCATATGTTGGGTAAGGGCACAACCGGTTATATAAATTAACATCTCCCCAACACAAAAATAGATGTTGAAAATGGGTAAGTTGCTAGGTTAGTGTAAATTAACGCCATGGTGGAGATAGAGTGAGATTAATGATGAATAAATGTATGAATATATCATTCATAAACAAAGAAAAACTTGTGTGAATGTTTCTATTTTCACTCACACATATCTCCTTTAACTTATTACTCTGGGTTTCACACAGACGTCCTGGCCTAGCAGTAAACAAAGTTTATAACACTGCTCTGCATATTGTTACTATCGCATACAACCTCAACAACACTGTACATGTACATGGCCAGTGTTTGTGCACCCTCAATGAGAGGTCAAGCACATGGGAACAAGGTTGGATCACATCAATGAGTTGGATCGCATACATTGTTCAGCAAGTCTCATTGGATTCATGATTTGATATCTTAAATTGCTCTAAATTGGTGCCCGCTGGCACTGACACACTTCAGATGGATAAATGTTCATGCCTAATTCAGTTACTTGTACATGTGATCTGTTGATAAACCAAATACTACGACCAAAGCCATCTCCAAATAAGCTATAATGAGCATTCAATTCTGCAATGACACTGTAGTTTTGGACTCACTCAACTTAACCTCCATACCCGATCTTTGAGCCAAGGCGCAGGTCAGTAAACACGTCCCATGCAAAGATGCACATTCAAGATTCAGCAAACTGTGGTATTCAAACTACTACGTAGAACAATGTGTAGAGCGAGCATGAAAAGGATTGTCTCTTGAAAGTGATTACCAGTTCCATTAAGAACAAAAGTAAAAGGTCAATCACGTGTCAACAGCTTTCAAACTACATGTACTACAGAGAGCTTGTTTTTTGGTTAATTCCAAAGATCAGAAGCAGCTCTTTGAAGTTACTAAGCAATTACTCCACCAATGTCTTGTATTGTATATCCTCTCCCTGAAAGCCAGAATGAGCAGAAACCAGGCAACAAATTCTGCTGTTGAGCTGAGAAGATCTAGGAGATTCGCAGTGGTTTCCAGTATGATAATTTGTTCCACAGAGATGAAGTCTGTGTTAATTAACATCTTACATCATTCCAGCAGGTGACAGATAATGATGTGGCTGTTATTCTCATGGAATCCTCATCTATGTACATGTATGTGTAAATCCTGCAAACTAGACCCCATCCACTCTCCTTGGCTGTTTAATCAATGTTTAACTTCACTTAACTTCACCCTCATTAAGGAGAGTTTACTGTGTGATTCTGTACCTAATGTTATGAAAGTTGCCCAGATTGACAAAGAAGTTCAGTCTAAATAAAGATGATATGAAGAAATTATAGACAAGTGTCTAACTTGTCACATCTGAGTAAAACTCTTGAAGGGTAGTCTTAATGAAAATACATGTACCTTCTTTTTTAAGAACACTCTGCATTACCATTATTAATTTGCTTATTTAATTTGTGACCTATGGAAACCTGCAAGAGATCATTTCTTATGGTGCTTGACTTAGCATTTGACACAGATGAACAGGCCATTTTTCCAACTGCCCCAAATCTTGTATTGAGATAGGTGATGCTGCATTAGACTCGTTTAAATCCTGTCTTAATGACCGACCATATTTGATATTTATATCAAACAGTGTCACCATTTTGTTTACCTTTTTTAGCATTTCCACAACATGTCACCGTGTAGGTTCAGTCTTTGTAAAAAAGGACATGTACAAGTCAAATGATTTGACTGGACCAGCAGAACTTGCTGGGTTCTCATATATTCTTCCTCCCTGTCACCATTACCCACATCACCTTGACGATTCTTTATCAGCATGAAGTTTTTCACACTTCAACAAGAGACTGATCTCCAACAAAATTGTCCCAATTTTTGCAGTGCTGTGTGCATGTAAATATGAATGCTGATGGTTCCATAGCTGTGTACTCCCAGATGTAACCACATGATGTTGCTTTCATAATTTAAGATTTTGATTTTTTTTTTTAAAGATCTGAACAAAGCCTGGATATCATTCTCTCGAATATCGACACAAACATCCATGAAATGCATTCATCACTCTCCCAAAAAGTAACAAAAATAAAAGACCTACCTACAGGTACAAAATGTAGATGAGTCTGGCCACTGCTGGCATCATTTGAGTTGTGCCTGTAGCAATATTGTGCTTTGTTCTACTCATGGGTGGTACTTTTGGAAATAGACTGCGACTTGTCAACTTATTATTGACAACTGCCATGACTATTAAATATCTCAAAGTCACCCACACCTACAAGGAATGATACCCAGTGGCACATCCCCACTTTCTGATCTGGGAAAACATCCAACTGCTTATGCTCTACAACATGGTCAGTCTAAATGTTGAAGTCCCACACAACCTTCACTTCTTCCGTTTCCAGAACTTCTTCAGAATGTGTTTGCTCCACTTGTTTCCTACCTTGATTCCTTCCAGCAAACATCCCAGTGGATCACCCTGGCTAACTTTTCATGCTTCCCTTTGTATACTTTCTGTGCCATCTTGCTACATCAACAATCCAATTGAAATAAGTGTTCTCTTTCTCGCCACATGTCATACACGTTAAGAGATACATTAGCTGGCTCTACCCTCACCTTCATCACATTCATCCACAGTGACTGGTCCTGTGCAACAGTTATCAAACCTTCTGTCTCCTTCAATTTACCCCTTGGACCATTCCTACCTGTAGGTCTTGTTCCCTACTGCCTCTTCCATGTCTCTCAGAAATATCTAGAGTGACATTCCTTCCCAATTTCTAAACCTTCCTCCTGTATGTAGTCTTCAGCAATGCATCCTCTGCCCAAGAATCATGCCCTGGAAAACCTCTCCTCTCAATGGTCACACAGTTCGTCATGTACATGGTGCACATACATGTACATAGTGTTTGGTGGGGGCTTAATATTGCTACTCAAATAAAATGTACATGTTGCGTGGTTTCCTCAGATGTTGGGTGTTTCACATTTTACATTGATTACATGTCTTTATTACAACAAAATGAGTTTGAACTTCACGTACATGTACATGTAGCTCTCTTAATTAGACATGTCAGTGAATTTGTGAGAAAATACAGATTTAAAAATAAGTAGCAGTTTTAAAAGACATTTGGCGGTATACATGTATCTTTTTATGTACAGGTACATGTATCGGCATTGTACATGTAGGTGATTCGTCTTTCTAAAGAGAACTGTTGTATTCTTAGGAATTAAAGGCTGTGGATATTTAGCCATCGCTGGCAAATTTAATTCATGATATATTGCTGGACACACACACGGTGACTGTTTTTTGGGGGACTGAAAATTCTTACCATGACAAATCTTAGTCTAGTTTTGTGCCAACCTAGGCCTGACTTTGTTTTCATGAGGTGGAAATCAGACCATTTTACAATGTCAGATGTTTAAAAAAAATCCTCCTGTGGAGGAAAAGAAACTGTAATACATGTACTTTGTAGTTACATGTTAGAGTTAATTTTAAAATAACAGTAGAAGAATATTCTTAATTTTTGGCAAAGAAAAAGAGGGAGGACAATGGCTGGGGAATCAGACCCTGGGCCCAATGGCTGGGGAATCAGACCCTGGGCCCAATGGCTGGGGAATCAGACCCTGGGCCCAATGGCTGGGGAATCAGACCCTGGGCCCAATGGCTGGGGAATCAGACCCTGGGCCCAATGGCTGGGGAATCAGACCCTGGGCCCAATGGCTGGGGAATCAGACCCTGGGCCGAGAGCGTATCAGGTGATCTCAAGATGGGAGCACTTGTCCCCACACTGTGAACCATACTTGGCAATTAGTGGTAATTTCATAATTTTCATAGCTTTATTTGTATGTATCAAAGAGGGTTCTGTCTACTTGTAGCTGGCTAAATACTGTTTACTTGAATTTGCTGGCAATGGCTAAATATCCACTGTTTCATTTTATTGTCTAGTTCTACATGTGAAATACTCAAAGAGTTTTGGTTTTAAAACATCTTTTGCCATTCTTAAATGCTTTCTGAAAGGAAGCCTTTATTTTCTTTGAAAGGATTTAAATAATTGAACCACTTGTAGCTAAATGCAACTGAAAAATTTACTCAGCAAGCAATTGATCGAATAGCAAAAAACTTTTTCAACCCTACTTTAAATTACATGGTTCCTGTACCCCTGACCTGGAGTGTGCAAAGTACATGTATTAGCTAGCGAACTGCATTATTCAAGTACAGATTTCTTTCACATAAAATTGTTGGTAGGTGACTCAGAACTCTATTTTGCCTGTTTGCAAAAGTAGTTCACTCAGTTTCATGTAATTTTGTAATACTAGTTCATTCCTTCATTTTCACAGAGAGGAAGCAGAGGCCTTAGCTAAAAGACTGAAGCTACGTTTCTACCGAGCATCTGTCAAAGAGAATCTAAATATTGATGAAGTGTTCCTTTATCTACTTGATAAATATATGCAAAAGCTTCAGACACAAGAGGCAGAAGACAATGCTACAACAAACACCAAAATTGGTATGTCATGTCATGATTACATTATGTAAACAGAAGTGTAGCTATAAGCAGTTTGCATGTACCTTTAGTTGGTCCATTCGTATACCGGTAAACCATTTTCAAATCAGGAATAGCTTTCCATGTGTGTATATGCATATATTCTACGTAAATATTCCCAAGTTATATGTAATATGTATTACATGCACAGTTGTACACATAGTTCAGCTCATGCTCCTCAGATATGCATCAGTGTTGATACATGTATGTACATGTCTTTTTCCCTCTTCACACTCAATCAACTTACATCAGGGATATACATGTATGTATATCCATCACACAAATAAGAATTTGCATTTCTAATTGTGATTGTTTCCATCACCTTTTTGAATTCAATAGGCATTTTCAACACCACAGTGCCCCCTCCAAGCAACGATGGAGACAGTAATGGTGGGAACGACCAGGACCAAACAATACAGCTTAGACCAACTAAACAGAGAACAAAGGGAAAAAAGCAGCAAATGAAATGCCAGATACTTTAATTCAATGGTATATGTATGCATTTCAGGCAAGTTTGTGGTCAGGTGTTCTTCATTGACCAGGATATTTCTGTTGGTCTTTGCTGCTCAGCATTGTTATTAACACTCCTTTTATTCTTGTCATAACAATCTTAACAGAAACACAATTTTTATGGTGTGAAATATCTATAAAGGTGATCTTTGTCATAAAAACTACTTTGTTTTGTTTTCAAAGACTAGGAAATAGTTTTTTCCAAAGACAAATGAGATGAGGGGGGCAGACTAGAAAAAATGCACATGTAAAACAGTTTCAACCATGTCTTCAGAGCCAGACCTGCAGTAATTTTGTGCTCAATAGTTCCTTGATATAGTTGATATAGCCCATCTTTGTTTCCCGCAGAAACAAAGAATATCTCAAAAATGGTTTTCCTCATATATTGCATCAAGAAACATGTAGTTCTTGTTGGCCACTTTGCAGAGTTGCAGAGCATAGCGAGAGAACACAGATTTGTCACATATTATTGTCACTTTGCTAAGGTTACCATGCCTCATTGAGGAAGTGATAATATCCCAACAGCAAACAGTTTTTGTGTTACACATGTATTTTGGCAACAATCACAAAATACTTAAAATTTGTATCCTCGTGGAGAGCATTCTTTGTGAACAAGGTACATGTACATGTGTTTGCTAACACTTGAACATGTAGTTATCAGTTACACAGAAAGTGTATGCTTGACCATGCATTCTTGATGACGTCTATGTCCTTTTAATCCTGTACATAAAAATTGATTTTTGAGAGACTATGTAAGGATAAATCAGCATCGTGATGGACATGGTTGATGTTTGCATGTATTTCCTGCATGTCTGTTGAAGGAGAAAGAATGCAACATGCACACACATAGTTGGTCCATAGTTTTTTGGGGGCTACACATATGTTGAACTCCCCTCCCCCCCCAAAAAGTCCATACAACTTTATCTTAACTTTAGAAATGGTCCCTTCAGCATGGTAATGGCTTAGGCACGTATAGGAGTACATGTAGGCCCCCCAAAAAAAATCATCGTAGAATGTATTTCTTTATCACCGACATATGCTAAACCCTCCACTTACTCATTTTGCTGATAGGTCTTTTTTTGTAATTAATTGCTTGTTTATATATTTAGATATATATACTAGCATTCAAGGAACAATGGAATTTCTAAAATTGGTTTAATTTTGTTATTTGAGTGTAAGTACTTACATATACCGTTATCTCAGAGTATTCATACATTTGTATTGTTTTAAGAAAAGCTTGATTCTTTTGGCCTGTGAGATGTACATGCATTTGCATATTGTTCTATTTGCATTCCATTTTTCTGCATATTTGTGTTCATGTTGAAATTCTGTTGAGTTCATTAAAAGCTGCCACTATATACTGCCCTTTTCAGAATGCAGTTGTCTGTTCTGAACAGACATCACACACACATTTACTTGGAGCTTTATATATACATATATTTACATTCAAAAGAAACACTCTTGCGATAGTTCAAAGTACATTTACAATGTAAAGGAGCCAATGGATTCCTCACGTTCTTCTACCAGCCCCTGATGTAGAATGACTGATTAAGTTAGAGCATGCTGTGTATACATGTTTTTCAAGGGCTGCCTGCCCCATACACACTTGCGCTACCTCTTACATGTCATGCCAGGTGTGATGATTTCTTTTTTAAGACTAAAATGTCTCTGTAAAATAGAAAAACTGAAAGAGGCTTTTTGTCCCCCAAAATCAAAATCTTGTGCAGAAAATAGGGAGGCCTTGGGGTGAGTTGAAGTACATTCTTAAAAGAAAGATAAGTCATCATTTTTGTTCTTCAGTCATCACCTATGAGACATGACTCAGATGGATATCACATTTGCATATTCACACCTGTAAATAACAATTCTAAGTGTTAAGGGAAGATCTGCATCTGGAAGGTGTTCGTGGTGCTAAGAAGTGGGGATTTGCAATAATTGCATTGATTGAAATTCTATGCCATTAAAATGAGTTTTCACATTGGTGTTCAAAAATGCTACCATGATGTCCAAAATCAATTTTGAATATGATGTCCTCACTCATCTTTTAAAGCACGGTGACAAATTCATTTGAGATATGATAACAACTTAGTTCTGGGGGGATGAAGTCAATGATGTTTTATACCTGTGTCCTGGGCATAGGCTCTGCCCACAGCCTCACAGAGGGACACTTCACCCACAAATACACGTACATATATCTAAAACCCATGTTGTTCCAACACTACGTGTACATTCTTTTACACGGAGACTAGTGCATGTACTCATCTTGTACTTCTGGGAACAATTGAAATGCATTGATAGGTGGTGTGGGGACAAACAACATGGGAAAAACTGCACCCACAACTCGGTCTCAACTTTCCTAACAAGAGAAACTGTCCCTTCTTTGTGGTAATGGCCTGGGCACAATTACACGTATATCCAAATTAAAGTGGATCTTGACATCCTGAGAAAATACTTGACGTTTAATTTCTTCCTGGCCAAAATAAAGCTCCATGAATGAAAATGGTGTCTGTCAGACTTTGAAATGAAAAGAGACTGCTGTATTCTAAAATATATACATGTGCCACGGTATGTATGTGGCAATCATTTATGTACATTTTATATTATAAAGTTAACTGAAGATGCTCACTGACTGTCCATATATTAGCTACAGAATGTATGGAATCATTTTATTTTCCTCCACAGGTAATGTGGTAAGCATTGATAAGATGGTCAAATCATTGGTAGGGCTAGATGTGTCCAACCAAGCTTGCATTATTTAATTCAACTGGGAATAATTGCAATTCCTGATCGAATTTCAGTCTCTAATGTGGAGTTACTAAAAACCAACACTGTACTAGTGTACAACAGCAACCTCTTTATGTATTGTTACCTCAATTGTATACCCTACAGCTCAGTCAAGTTAATAATTTGAGTTAAATAATTGTCTGGATTACCCATACACATAACTGTTAACATTTTTTTTTTAAAGTTGGTGCTCAGATCTGCTGATCTTCCAATTCATAACTGGAAAAAAATGTTTTTGTTTTGAGAAGTCTCAGATCCGCCCTCACAGTTTACTGACATAAATAAAAAAAAAAAAGGATTTTGGTCTGCTGTCTGACTGATGGCAAGGTCCCCGATTTCAAGTTTGCGAGCTTTGGTCCTCTTTTGTTATTGGTAACCTTTTGTTGTTTTTTTTTTGGGGGGGGGGTAGTTTTTGTATTCTCCTCTCTGACTTGACGCTTTTTTTTTCATGAGACCATAGACAATAATTTTGTTTCGTCTTTATTTGTCCTTTAAAATTTGCCGTCAAAAAAATCTGTGCACCAACTTATAAAAAATGCTGAATTAGACATTTTAATGTCTTTGCTGATATTTAAAATTTCTTTATCTTCAATTCATCGTTATCAGGCTGAATGATCGAATGTGTAACTACAGTGGACTGGCATCTACATGTATGTGTACTGTACCATATCCAGTGGAAAGCATGTTTTCCATTCATTAAGTTTTAAGCATTTTGGAAACTTACCACCTGGGGGTGGTTGAGGGTTTCCTTGCAATTGAAAAAAGTACTGTATTATCCCCCTCCATGCAAAACCTGAATACGCCTCTGTTTGCTGTTTTTTAATTGGCGTAGAGCTGACATTTTTAAACATGTTACCATCAATGCATTTTATGCCAAAGAGTAAAGACTGTTGAAGTGCATCTACATCTGTTCCTGAGTACCAAGCTGACTGCTAAAACTAGTCACAAAACAAAGAGTATTGATATTTAATGTTTTAGTGTCACACCTCAAAATAAATTCATAACTGGACAGTAAAGAATCTGTAAAAGTGAAGTATTCTTGACAAAATCCTCAAAATATAAGAATATCTTGTAAATTAAAAACTCCTAATGGCAATATTGAACTCCACGTTAAGTACTTAATGGAACCAACACAAACATGGGGCTGGCAATTTGGGTCATGGATCACATAACCTAAAAAGAATCATTTAAAATGTTATTGAAAGTACTGCTTTAGATGGATTTTTTCCTGATTTTTTTTTTCAGTATACAAGTAAACATATTCACAGGTCTAATATTAAAAAGGAGCCACACACTGCACATGGTTTCAATTTATACATTCAATTTTAACATTTTACACCGTCCAAATAAAAAGACCATGTGCAGGCACCAATTTTTATGGTGAACCGATTTAGATAAATTACATGTACATGTATCACGCCTGTATTTATTTGTTTGAATAGCAAGTACATGTATGGGTAATCAGAGATCTTGCGTCAATGAAGTGGGAAAACAAAAATATTTACATAAATAAAAAGATATACCCATACTAAATGGAAGTTGCTAGCTGCGCACTCATGACTCTAATTACCTTGATCATCACCCATTGCTTTGGTGGAAGCAGACACTTTTAATCGGGCAAAACAGTGCCATCTGAGGAATGTGTATTTGCTGAAAACATGTACATTGTCCCATGGATTGCTTCCTGATGTCAGGGGAAGCTCACATTAAAATGTGTACAAATCATTTGAAGTTTTTCACGGTGTTTACAAAAATGTAGCTCCAGTCTTAAATAGATCAACAAAAAGGTCAAAAGAGCTATGCAGAGTACGTTACTTTTTGTGATATAAATATTCATTATAGTGCATTGTTACTGGTACTTTCCATGTACCGAAAGTTTGCATGTACATACATGTAGCTACACATACATACAGTGTACCTAGATTTTTCTTATAAAGAGTTATAGATCAAAGTATTCACAACTAACCAACTTCCATTTATTTTGTTTAATATGTTTTGCTTTTGTAATGTTTCGTTTGTGAAACAACTTCCAGTCAGTTAGTTTTTGTTGTACACACATGTACATGTATATCAATATGTGCAATTCATAGTGTAGGTGCCTTCAAGAGTTTGTAATGCACTGGCCAATCACAATGTACAAAATCTTTGACCCTTTCCAAAGGCGCATCGGGTCGACAGATTTCACGCATTATGATTGGCCAACGCATTGCAAACTCTTGGAGGCGCAATACTGTGAAACGCGCATATTGATAGACTGTACTGCGTTGATATGAAAAAGCACTGTACATGTATTTCTTGCTGTGATATTCAAATAATTAAACTAGCAAGTCCTCCTGTAATCATTTAATAATTTTGGGTGATTCATATAAAAAAAATGTAGTGAGTTGACTGCAAACCCTGGGAGAAATAAGCCAAGTACTTCTGGTTTTGTAAACCTTTACAAGAGAGATTTCACGGACAGTAGACAGTTGAATTACATGTACTATTAAACTTAATCAAAATAAATTTAACTGAATCAACTTCATGTTTATCCCATGGCTACTGAAACCTCTCATCACAATGGGGCATTTTGCAAGGAATAAATGATTTGGGGAAAAAACATTCAACTGAGATGTACATGTAACCAGTGTGTTCATAATTACTCCAATATCAAGTACATTGTAAGTGGATCAAAGTGTACAATGTGTAAAATTACATAGATGTACATGTACTGTACATGTATATTTAACACAAAATGACTGCATGGGGTTTGTCAGGAGGTATGCAAAACCTCATCCAACTCTGCCATTTAGCACACACTTTGGAACAAATCCTACACACTTAACTACTGTAGTCTTTCTTCACTCTTCTGTTCTTCCATCTCGTTCCATAAAATCATCAAACCAATATGGCTTGCGCAGTGATTTATGAAAGCATGTACATTTTGTACCCTCATCACATCCTGAACACACCAGTTTTTTCAGGTCAGTGGTTAAATGAAATTTATTTATGGAAACCCAACAGAAATTTTCCTTCGTAGGATTAAATGGTCAAGATTACTACCTATGTGTATACATGTACATGAGTTCCCAGGGGTAGTGGATTAACCATACAAGTATGTTTCACGGGAGAGGTATCTTGTCTCGTACACGTACATACATTAGTATTTGTGGAATGAACAAACTGTGGGTTCTGAATACTGGGTAACACGAATACTTACATGTAACATACATGTACATACAGCCATTTTCAAATTCAGAGTTTAATTCAAATGCTGGAGAAAGTGTGCAGATGTGCCAGTCCACACACCATCTAACCCAACATAAGAAATTTTGAGTAGATGACCATACCTCAATGTACAACGTATGTATGCCACACTTAGTGTTTTCCCCTCTTGGAGAAAAGGGGGACTTTTGTGGACAGCGGTGTATTCCTTGTCCAGTTGGCACGTGCGTGGCAATCCACATGCACACAGACTCTTGACCAATCAGAATCAACTAAACTGTCTCGTCTCCAGGCTCCAGTGAGTGATTTACACAGAGGGCATTATCACTTCCTGGAGGGCATTATCAAATGTTAATACACGGTTAAGTTGCACGTTGTTGAATAGGGAGACTATCTGAGGGTATGAATGCACAATCATGAAACAAGCCCCCTTTATTCAAAACTCTGTGCTATGAAGTGTCTGTCCGTGAGGGCTGCCAGTGCCACATACAGTTCATATCACAAACTTCAAGGACAGCTGAGAAGTCTACTCACCACACAACTCAAACAGTGGCAGCCTATTGTGCACGAGGCCAGCATTTTTTAAAATTTGGAACACAACATGACAGAAAAAGGGAAAAAAAGTAAAATGAAATTCTAAAGACCAATAAACTCCCTACAATTACTTTACCTAGGGTCAGAAGAGGAAAACACAAAAGGAAATAAAATAAAATAATATTGATCCCTTTTGCATTTCATTTTTTTCTAAAATTGTATTATTAAAGGTCCACCAACCCTCAATAATTGTATTATTGAACCCACCAACTCTCAATGACTGTATTATTGAGAGTTGGCAGGTTTCCAACTTACTAAAAAAAATGACTTTATAGCATCTTGCATTGTGTTCTTGCAGTTCAGGTGCAAAAACAAAACCATTTCAATCCAAACTAAGCCAAGTTCATTGGAGAAAGAACAGCCAACTGTCTGTCTATATCACCCCTTGCCTCCCACATCAATGTGAGCATCTTTCTAATTTCTTTCTGATCTTCTACTGCACAACCCAACAGTGCTCCTTGAAATGCATCATCTACTGGCCCACTTGCTTCTGCCATGCAGCTGTTCAGGTATCTGCGAGTCATGCTGGGATCGGTTTCTCCTTGCATGAGGTTTTTCTGAAGTTTCCCCAGAAGGGTCTTTACAAGATGAAATGATTCTTCTTGAGGGGGAGTGCGGAAAATCTCTACTGAAATGTTAACTGTAAGAAGTCTATTGGTAAGGCGATCCATATAAAGCTCCAGTTCATCTCTTTCACCTTAAAGACAAAAATACAAAAATTGGAACATGAATCCAGAAAAGACAATCAGCATTTCATGAAAAGTTCCATTCATGGGGCATTGTACAGTGTACATTTTCACCTATCATATTTATTATGAACTTGCATTAGGCCTACATGTAATCAGATATTTTCATTAATTGCACGTCATTTTCATTTTCTTAGCATTATTTACTTTCTAAGACCTGTTCAATGTACACATTTGTAGGCCTACATTGAGCTTCTGTACCAACTACGGAAGCGTGTAAGGGCCACTTGCAAGTTTTTTTTTCTTGATACTATCAAGATAGGTCAATCTTCATATGTGTATTTCACCACAGCAAGTTACAAGATCTTGTCATGGCGTCAAATTAATCGTAACTTGATGCGGTGAGAGAGTAACTCGCTGCGGTGAGATAACTCAAAAAAATGTTTTGCAAGTTGCCCTTATACGCGTCCGTACTCAACAACAAGCCTACAAACTACAATCCTGTTTTCACAAATTTTTTCATGCAACTGTACTAATTTTAGCACTTGAATGTTTTTACTGCTTAAGTCACATGATCTGTCCATCATACATGTACATGTACCAACCAGCAGCAACAAGAGCTTGGCTCTGCATTAACGTGTTGAGTGATTCAAGAAGATGCAATCTCTCTGTCTCTGCCTCTTTGACTGTCTGTCGTAACTTCTCAGTCCTTTTTTCCATTTCATCCAAAGTTTTCAGTAGGTAGTTGTCCATGCATGTACATGCACCTCTTAGTCTTACATTATCGTCATGATGCAACTCGTGGCAATTTTCATCCCGACAGTCATCTCCTGGGAACATGTGTAATGACTTAACTTGTTTAGGTCGCTCCTTTCCCATGTTTTCACTTGGATGAATAGATGAAGGTGAACTGCAGCACTTCCCTCCATCATTTTTAGGAATCACGTTAAACCCCTTCTCATCCTCAGCATCTTTTGTCAGTAGTGTCCGTGACATATCATATGAGGCCTCATCACTCTTATCGCAACCATCAGCCATTTTCTGCAAATTAGTGGTTGCTTATCTCCAACCAATTAAAAAGAGACATCCTTCTATATAATCATGGATGAAGAGATAGACTTAGAAATAGAAGATCATCACGTTGCCTTGATGAACCATGGCCGAGGCGTCCAGAAGCGTCAAGGCAGTACATATCACAACCGGCATGGAAAAGGTACATGTACACTTGTGATATTTATGCGTCACCCTGAAACATGGGTACCAGTAGACTTGAACCAAGTCGGTCCTCGCGCGTGTCACGTCTTTTTCACTAGCACTGCCATAGGCCGTGTGGACATCTGCGGTCGCGCATGCGCAGCAGCGTTCAGTGTGCCGGCAGCTCGCAAAATATACCAGACGACGAAAGCGATATTTTCTTGTATACATGGGAGGTCCCATAATTAATTGTTTGCCACTTAATAACAAACCCACCGGAAGGGGTGAAATTCTGCAAGTGTGTGAAACAATTATGAAATTGTTCTGTCTGAAAAGAAAATATTTGAAATGAGCAAATTAAAAGAAAAGTGAATTTTCACGAAAGAAATCTAATCGAAATCATGTTCAAATTTTGTTGGACAACGCAACATTTAAAGCTCCTTTTTGAAATATTTCTCCAGTTTTCCCAATGGAAATTGCCATACTGCCTAAAAGACAAATACTGGCATCGTTAAGGGTATTTTTCTAGACTCCCCAATAAGTAGTGTTTACGCCAGTGGTAGGGATTGGAGAGTTCTCCGGCACAGCTCCTTTCAACCCGTTTCTCCCTCTTTCACCCCTATACCTACTCGACCCTTTTTTCCACTCAAAAAAACCCAAAAATGCGTTTTCAAGTTTTTATAATTCTGGGTACCTCATCGACTATTTTATCAACTCGAAAAAAAGGTTGCAAAAGGGATTTTAAAAAGGCACGATTCCATCACCTCCGCCTTCACCCCCTTTCACCCCGCTTTCACCTTCTTCCGCCACCCGCCATTCGCGCCGGGGTTTCCCGGCCACTTCACTCACCTTGACCTTTTGACCCCGGCGCACTTTTCTGTCAACAACTCACTCTCAAACAAAAAAAGGGACTTCCCGTCTCTTTTCCGGTCTAAACTCGTGACTTCTACTTAAAATGCGGCTCTGTTCGAAGCAAATGCGCTATGTTTACAACCGCCTTAAATAAATGGCCTATATATAAAAATAACAATATATAAAAAAAAAAAACATATCCAGTCAAGTCGACAGAAAAAATGAGAAAATTTTTAGAAAGCTACTTATAAATAGAGTCATGGAAAAACCACAATTTAGACCTCTACTAACGACCTTTTACCGGTTCAAAAAGGGGTTTTTAGAAGATTTTACCAAGCAGTATAACATCTCGGTACCACCTCCCAAGCGTAAATCTCATACTAAACCCGAGCTCATTGAAGCCATACGGGCAGACCAGAAACAATTTAGATACCTCCCGCATCAGTCATATCGCCAGCTGTTGAAAACGGTTCAAAAATACAACATTCCTATTGCACACAAAGACAGATATGTCTTATATACATGTACGCTGACAAGACTTTATTGAAGCGATTAAAGCTTACACTTAACCCGAGGAAATTGCGGAAGTTGACATTAGAAACGTGAGGCGCTTTCAGGGCAACTACCGCAATTGGGAATTGATAGCCCGTTTCTTTGAATACGACCTCGTGCACATTTTTATTTTTACAAGCCTTTCATCGAGAAGAAAGCGTTGGACGAGTCAAATGAAGTCGGTTCTTACAAATTGCATACGGCCCTAAAAGTGCAGTTTAGATTGGAAAAACCCGAAAAAAACTGAATTTGGCGTAGGCTATTTACCTTTCCGAGCGAAAATAGAACAGTTGCAACCAAAGCCAACGTGAAAAATGCACTCGTTGAACAAAGGGAAAAACAGAGAAGACGTGGAATCTCACACACAAAAAAGATCGGAATGGATCTTTGATGAAGTAAAAGCTTTTTACATCAACGTGGTTAAATATAACCCGGTGGGCTCCACGTATATTCCACTACCTGCGAAATTGGGGCACAAAAAAGCGATCATAAATGTACAAAACAACGACCAGCAGTGTATCCGATGGTCACTGAGAGCGGCTTTAAAGTTATATTCTGACAACGTTGAAAGTCAAATTGAAGTTAATCCAAAATATGATATAAGCGAAAAGTGCACCTCGACTTACACAGAAACAGACTGTCTAAATTTTACAAACATAAGCTTTCCAACACCCATTTCACAAATCCCACGTATCGAATCGCTAAATAATTTGGCCATTAATTTAATTGGTTATGATGAGAAAGACGGTCTTTATATTCTTTATAAAAGCAAAAAATTCTCCGAACCGATCAATTTACTTTATTTTACCCAAGGTGAAAAAAGTCACTACTGTTGGATTAAAAACCTTTCTCGGTTGACGGGCGGTATCGATCAACACAACGGCCCAAAACAGTGGTGCTTTAACTGCATGTCACATTTTCAAACAGAAGAAAAGTTAACCAGACACAAAGAAGATTGACAGGGTTTAGATGCGGCTCCCTGTAAAGTCGAATTACCCGCCGAAGGCAAAAACATTTTACAATTTTGAAAACTACAAAAACAAACAAGATGCAATTTTTGTCATTTACGCTGATTTTGAGTCGGTGTTAGGAAAATTATCGCCCACAGATACAAACACAGTCAAAACACAAATCCATAATCCCTGCGGTTATTCATACGCGGTCGTCAGATGCGACGGTCAATGCACTAGCCAAAGGACCTATAGAGGCCAAGACGCGGCAGTTAATTTTGTACAATGGCTTTCTGAGGAAGCAGACAAGATAAACGAAACGTTTAAAAGTAAAAAGCCGCTGATTTGGTCACCCGAGTTACAAAAAAATTTACGAAAATTGTAATCGCTGTTGGATCTGTGAAAAGCTTATCGGGAAGACGTCAAATACCCAGTGTCAGTGCCCATTTCCAAATGAACCAAAAACAAAGGACGAAAAGCTGAAAACGGCTTTACAAACAAACCCGGGTTCAGAGAATTTTTATGTATGACGTGTGAAAAGCCAATCAACAAATTTAGAAAGGTCAGAGATCACTGTCACGTGACGGGTGAGTACCGGGGCCCTGTGCACGCAAGTTGTAACCTAAAGTTAAGAGTCGTCCCGAATCAAACACCTATTCCGGTGATTTTTACACAACTTAGAAAAATACGACGCACATTTAATCATGCAGGGCGCTCACGAGTTTAACGGCGAAGAAATAAAATTTATTGCTAAAAATACCGAGACCTATGTTTCCTTTTCCTTTGGCCAACTCAGGTTCTTAGACTCCTTTCATTTTATGGCGGCTTCGCTAGATCGGTTGGTTAAAAATTGTTCACCCGATGATTTTAACTTACTTTGCGAAAGGTTTCTGGAAACTACAAAAAAAATTGTTGGAAAAGGGAATTTTCCCCTTACGAATATATCGATTCCTTTGACTTTCTCTCTCCATTCTCTCCATTACCCGAGTTCGATCCCTCTTAAAGAAGGCTCCGTATGTTCGATTCTGAAAAAGCAAAAAGTGTCCAGA